CGATTTGGCAATTCGCCAGAAGTCTTCATATTCAACACTAGCAAACTGCATATGCACAAGATGATAAAAATGCTCTATCTTCTGTCATTTAAAATGTGCTTACAGTGTGTCATGGACAGTTGGAATATTGCCAAACTGCGTCGCGACTGAAATCGCGTGAAGTATGCCTGTCCATTTATTAGTCACCAGTGCATCACCTCTGCTTCGCAGAGGCTCGCACTGACCCTATCTGAATGCCCAACTCATTCCCGCATAATAATGACATTGAAACTCACCGAGCCATCCAGGCTATCACGAATGGTTTGTAAACAACGACTCATTCCTAGAGCTTTTTTGTGTGTAATCGGTATTTTCGCGTGGATAAGACTTTTCCGAGGATTATAAATGCGAATTTGAATTGGTTCTTAGACTTTTTATGGCCTCTTACTCATACCCACATAATAGTGACATTGAAACTCACTGTGCTATGCCCACTACCACGAATGAAATGTACATAAACAGCTACTCATTTAGAAAGCTTTTTCACGTGAGATCGGTGATTTCGCATGGAAAAAACTTTTCGCAGGAAGACAAACGCAAATTTGAATAGGTTTTTGAATTTGTCATGGTTTGATAGTCGCCATAAAGGCAATAGTCACCGTAAGCTACATCTCTGTGCGAAAATCTTCTCAAATGCTTTTCTAGAACCTTGACAAATTGACCATTTGCGCAAGCAATACTTTTTGGCGCCATTTTTGTAAAGTAATGGACTTTTGGTCACTTATTTGGGCCTAAGTTCATGACTTGCACATTTACTTGCCATAAACGCCCACCACTCCGCAAAAAGTGGAATCATGGACCCAATTTTGTGGGCCAAATGCAAGGTGGATCCGTTTGACGCGCAATTTTCAAAAAACCCACTCAACGAATCTGCTTGTGCTCTTGCATGTTGGACTTTCATGCCAGTAGCAAATACTATGCAAAATTTGAGCCCAGGGCGTTGGCTGGAACACGCTCTACGAATTTCGTGACAGACAGACACACACACACACACACACACACACACACACACACACACACACACACACACACACACACACACACACACACACACACACACACACACACACACACACACACACACACACACACACACACACACACACACACACACACACACACACACACACACACACACACACACACACACACACACACACACACACACACACACACACACACACACACACACACACACACACACACACACACACACACACACACACACACACACACACACACACACACACACACACACACACACACACACACACACACACACACACACACACACACACACACACACACACACACACACACACACACACACACACACACACACACACACACACACACACACACACACACACACACACACACACACACACACACACACACACACACACACACACACACACACACACACACACACACACACACACACACACACACACACACACACACACACACACACACACACACACACACACACACACACACACACACACACACACACACACACACACACACACACACACACACACACACACACACAAACGTAAACAAGCCTTAGCCCGTTTTTATAATTTACCAGTGCGTCACCTTCGCTTCGCGGAGATTCGCACTGGCTCTCCGCTCAAACACGTAAACACTCTTAGCGCGTTATTATAGTAGGACTAGCTGGCATATCCGGCTCCGCCGTATGTTCCGAATAGAAAATTCCATTTCTTAACCGATCCGAACCAAACTTGGCACACATACACTGGGGCCCGGCGGGTGTCACAGTCCACTTTTCGTTATCGATTGATGTCGATTTTATCGATTTTTTGCAAAATTTGAGCTAGGGGGCTGGGATTTGGCACAGGAGGGTAATCGAGCATGCTGATTACGAATACAATATTAGTTTTCGAAACCGTGCATTACTTTTATCGATTTTATCGATTTTTTGCAAAATTTGAGCTAGGGGGCTGGAATTTGGCAGGGGGTGTAATCGAGCATGCTGATCACCCCCACGGGGATGATCAGCATGCTCGATTACCCCCCTGTGCCAAACCCCAGCCCCGTAGCTCAAACTTTGCAAAAAATCGATAAGATCGATAAAAGTAATGCACGATTTTAAAAACTAATATTGTATTCGGAATCCCCATGCTCACTTACCCCCCTGTGCCAACTCCCAGCCCCGTAGCTCAAATTTTGCAAAAAATCGATAAAATCGATATCGATCGATACGAAAAGTAGCCTATGACACCCGCCGGGGCCCGAAGTGTATGTGTGCCAAGTTTGGTCCCGATCGGTTCAGAAATGGAATTTTCTATTCGGAACATACGTACATACGTACATACATACAGACAGACATACAGACATACAGACAAACAGACATCCAGCTTTATATATAAGATAAGTTGCTCGCGGTTACATTTTTTCATTTGCAACTAATCGGCTATTACAAGGATCAACGAATTTAGCGTCTGTACTCGTTATGTCTTCAGGTTTTGCAATTCCAACTGTGCATCTAGATTCTTTGCTCCACCTTCGATGTTGCGTCAACTCTTTTTTATGAATGTATTTCTCAATGCAAATGTTATCATGTAACGTCAGGCTACTTGTGATTGAAATATATGCACAGCGTGTGCAATATTTCACCTTGCTCCAATATGCCAACTTGCAGGCATATCCTCTGCACTTTGGCCATACCGGCGTTCAGGCGGGTTCGAGCGGATTCGGACGTATTTGGGCGGATTCGGACGTATTTGGGCGGATTCGGGTGGGTACGGCGCGGTTTGAACGATGCCTAAGGATTGTTTCATACTGCCGCACTGACTGCAGCAGACTGCACTGACCGCAGCAGACTGCAGCTGACCGCAGTGACCGCAACGGCCGCACATTCGCTGCGTCATTTTGTAAAAGAGAAAATAGTTGCAAATACATCAAAACACCGTGATTTACGCCTGGAAAGTTTATAGGTTCTAATTTGCTCTCCTTAGTCAAATTTTGGCGATTGTTTTTTTTAATATGCTCATAAAGGATATTCGTCGACGACTGCCCCGACTCGTGCAATTACACCATCGTGGGCGCGCCTTTTGGGAGCCTTTCCAGCTTGACAGTATGCTGCAGCGCGCGGGGACTTGAGAGCTCGCAGCATCCTTGTCCTTTAACCTCTTTGGTCTGTTAGACATTTCACATTGTTTTTTTTATTTTTCGTTCCAGGCAGTTACATACTTTAATGACTATGTGAGAATATCGCCGCGGGCAAAGTTAGAAGAAAGATGAGCTTTCTTCCTAGTTGCAGTGGTGGTTATCATGGCATGATGGAATTGCATATTTTCTTCGATGTTTTACAATGATTTGACATGTTTATTAGGACAGACCATTGAAATGGTTGCTTCAGCACTCTTATAGCAGGGACACCATGTGGGAAATAAACATTCGAGTGATCTCATGTATGAAGATGCATGATAACCACTATTACTCATGAACAAAGCACATGTTTCCGCCTAACTTTGCCCGGTGCGATGATTCACGACTTTGAAAATGGATGTTTCGTACGTAGAACGGGGAAATAATTTAGGAAATGTGCCCAAGGTAGTTTTTCCCTTACTTTTCAGTATTCAATGAAGTAGAACGTAGGATAGTTGATCATCAAGAGAAACTAAAAGAAAGGGAAAACGAATAACTGCCTAAATATAAAAAGTAAGAAGAAAAAACGATATGAAATGCCCAAATTAAGAAAAAGAGGTTAAAGGACAGTGTTGCTGCGAGCTACTGAGTCCCAGCGCGCTGCAGGTACTGTCCAGCTGGGAAAGGCTCCAAAAACGCGCGCCCACGGTGGTGTAATTGCACGAGTCGGGGCAGTCGTCGACGAATATCCTTTAGTTGTTCAGATTCCTTTTGTCATTGCATATACCTATTTTACTCCCGCTCGTGTTGTCTATTGGGACATATATTGTTAAGAGACTGTTTGAGCTACAACTATTTATCCTCCCCACCTTCACAAAAGGATGTAGCGATCCGTGCGATCCCGCGGTCATGCCGTCAGCTGCAGTCTGCTGCAGTCTGCTGCGGTCAGTGCGGCAGTCTGAAACAACCCTAAGCCGCAGAGCCGCTTAGAAGCCTCGCTGTGTTTTGGAAAACGAAATTCAGGTCGCAGAATACTTTCAGGTAATACTCAGCACTTTATCCGTTTTTTTTGCGAAATCCTTAGGCAAGGGACATACCTCACGCGATTTCAATCGCCACGCGATCTGGCAATTTGCCAGATGTCTTCAAATTCAGTACTGATAGACCCCAAATGCACAGCATGTATAACTTTCGTAGGTTGATAAAGTGTCCCATCTCCCGTATATTCAGAAACCCCGTACGATGAGTTATGAACATTTGGAGTACTGCCAAATCGCGTCGCGACTGAAATCGCGTGAGGTATGCCCGAGGCCGCGTCTGGACAGCGATTTCAGAAAAAAATCCCCTGCGTCTTATACTCGTGAAATTAGAAACACAATGACGACCGTATGCATACGCGCGTATATATTCTGACTCCGCTGAGCACTTTCGTGCGTCAGTTATCGAGTGCAAACGAAGAGTTTTAGGTTGATTTCTATGCAGTCATATAATGATGGTGTGGTTATCATATAGAACACAAGCGAAAGTCTCAGGAGTCTGGGTCTGCGATCATACTGATTCCGAAGTTCGGGAACAGTACGAAGGCGAACTGAGCCCTGTGCTGGAACTGTTCCCGAACTTCCGGATCAGTATGAACGCAGCCCTGAATGGCAGATTTGAATATTCGGCCCATTTCGATGTGGCACAAAGTGGCTCGGTCGTCAACGTGTTGGAAAAAAACCCTAGAGCTTTTTACAAAATAGTATAGTTTACGATCGCACCATCTTGCATATGGTCGAGTATACGTCGTTTCCAGCCCCCTACTATCTTCTTCTCTTTTCGCTGAAAAAGGAGAGTTAACTTACATAGTGAGGTTTCATGACGGATATTCTCGAAAAGGATGTTAAGGGTCTGAAGTAGCTGAACATTCAGAGATCCACCATCTTGCTTCATAATTTGAAGGAAGTAAGAGAGCATCTGACGCTCTAAGAAAAAACTGAAAAAATATACGCGTCTGCTACTGAGTGGTATTGCAAGTGAGAACAAACGGTACTATTCCACATTAGTTGACCCAAAAAATGAAATTCGTGAATTTCGCTAAAACTTCGTCTACCGGGGTTATTTGGTATGCTGAGGACATGATGTTTATCTCGTGCGACAGCGCCATCCGGTGGAGTTACGGTAGGACTACGTAAGGGAACGGCCATAGGTTGCCGGCAACGGTTGTCGGTGTGGTCGATGTCGTCGGTGTTGTCGGGGTCAGAGACAGTTTAGAGAGCGCGCGAAACGTGGAGGCTATCATGAGGTTCTACAACGACCGACAACCTCGGCAACCCGACAATATCGACAACACCGACAACCTATGGCCGTCCGCTAAGGGGTCAAAATCACGGATTTGCCCGAAACTTGGCCCTGAGGGGTTATTCGGCGCTCTGATGCAAATACCATATTGGTTTTAAAGCGTAGCGTCATTTTCTCGGGTTACGGTAGCTACGGGTGTAAAACATAGTTCTGCCTGAGACGGGTGTACGGCGATTCGGACGATCGTGAAGCTTTACACACACGACCACCGCCGCGCGCTACCCCTGCTGCGGCTTTTGCCTAAGCAACACAGGGAAAAGATATAGCTCATTTGTTGACCGCACGGAGTGGACATTACGGAGCACGCGTCGCGAGGTAAAACGCTTGCCCCAGTACAAATTCGCCATTGTACAAATCGTGCTCTCGCAGCGTTTTAGCCGCGCCGCGCGAGGTCCGCAGCATCTGAGCAGTCCGTGCAGTCAACGAATCAACGATACATTTGCCATTATGATTTTGACCCCTACCGTAAACCTACCGTAACCATGCAGGAAGATGTTCTCGTGCGGAGTGAGTGTGACATTTCTAATCAGCACGTCGGATAGGCCCTCTGTGCAGAATTACAGCGGATTTTGAGATTTTGATCCCCTGCCGTATACCCAACGTAACCGAGAAGAAGACGTTATGGTACAAAACCAATGCGATATACAGCATCAGTGGGCCAAATAACCCCTCAAAACGAGGTTCTGGGCAAGTCCGTGATTTTGCTCTCTACCGTAGTCCTACCGTAACTCCACCGGATGGCGCTGTCGCACGAAATAAACATCATATTCGTGTTCAGGTACCAAAAAACCTTCCTAAACGAAGTTTTAGCGAAATTCACGATTTTCATTTTTTGGGTCAACTAAGGCCTCGGGCAGAGTTCAAGCGATTTGAGCGTCGCGAATCAGTCGCGACAAGACAACTGTTACGAGTTCATTACATGCTGACCAGCTTGCATTTCGGTTGTGACACTTTTCCAGCCCAAAATTTTCGAATGTAAAATGAAAATGAATGGAAATCGCGGCGAGAATCGCGACGATCAAATCGCGTGAACTCTGTCCGAGGCCTAATGTGGAATAGCGCCGAACAAACATAAATTGAAACAAAACCAATATTCAAATATAGCATTTGACTAGAATTTAACTGGCATGCCCTGCTCGCCCAATCAATTCACTGTGTTAAAGGTCACCATTCTTATTTATCACAACATTCTGTCAGAGTCTGTCCCTGTACCACTTTTGTATGCCACTTTCCGCCCCCACTACGTTTTCACAATCAGCATGCTCACTTCCCCTCTCTGAGGAACCAACTTCTCAGACCAAACTTTGCAAAAACTAGATGAACTCGATGATGCAATGGGTATCTTTCCAAACTGATGGTACTATCCATATCATCATGCTCACTTACCGCCCTGCGCTAATGCAGCCCGTGATTAAGCGTTTGCAAAGTCAAAATTGGTATCTTGATATCGATCAATAGCTAAAAATGGCCTAGACCCCCCCCCCCCTCCTGCCGGCAGTAAGTGTAAGTGCAGTTTAGTCCGCATGGGTTCAGGAAGGGAATTCTATTCAAAAGATACGTACAGACGGACACAAACATATATCAGCTTTGTATATAAGATGACCATAAAATATCCTTACTCAAAAACCTTGCTGTCATTTTGGTCGCCCCAGATGAGAATCTCGGCAATGGCTCGTAGAGCTTCTACTAGCACTTTTCTATTTCCCTCCACCACCTTCTCATTCTTGGCCAGCACACCGTGTAAGTACCTTAACGGAAATAATTAGCATTCACTGAATATATTCACTGCATAAAGATATAATCCACTTTGGAGTTCACATATGTAGCTTTCATTCAACCGAAATGCAGCAGAAAGGAATAGGAAAGTGAAGCGAGACCGTACTTCTTCACAAAACAGCTAGCGTTTCCCAAATCCCATGGCAAGAGAAGCATATTGTGATCAAGAAAATTCCCCCATCAACAGCCATCTTTCAAGCCGGACTTTCGGCGTTTACGTCAGAGAAGGAAGCAAACAAAAAAAAATAAGCGAGAAAGACAAAAGTGGACGAAGATGCAAAGTGAATGCGCTAGCAGCTAAAGAACCTGTGATGAGCCCTTAATTGCAAAATGAATCGAGTTCTCAGGGAAAGAATTTGATGAAAGTATAAACCGAGCTCTAACTTCAAATATTCCAATGAATGCGGATTCTTCGGCCTCCACAACGAACTTGATGAACCACCAAATCGACGCAACATGAATTGTATAGAGGATTAATCGAGCAGAACAACCAGGTTCATATAACCCTCATACGAGAAGCACTGAAAAAACTGAGTTAGCTCCAATGCTTATAGGCCATCATCTTGCATCCGACTACTGTATCATAGTTGTTCAATGCACAACAACCAGCAGCTTCTGTGGATGTATTCAAAGAAGGTGTTATGAAAGGTAAACTGTTATCGAAGCGGATTTCGGAGTCAAAAAAGTAGTTTGTCTGTAATCACACATGCCGTGTCGAATGACGCCTAAATCCAAATAGATTCGCAATCCGCATGGCGCCATCCAGGGCCAGGCCCAGATGGTCTGGGGTCAAACTGGACTTCGTTTTTGAAGTTAGAAGCAACGGGGATATCGTTTTTATAAGGTCCTGGGGGAAGCGCCGATAGAAAAACGACGAACATGTCAAGTTATACGAGTTGGACGTGTTCTTTTGCAAGCGCGCGAATTTCAAACGCAGGACTCAAACAAACAAATGGCTTGTTCATAGCGCACAAACAATCATATGGCTCCGAATTTGGGCTATGTGTATACAATATTACTTCAAACTATGTTATGTAAAAAGTTCCCAAAACTTATTTATCCTAATACCCGTTCCCGAATTTGTTGCTAGACCAACACTAAGCCATTGGGTTGGTTCGGAGCATAAATATCGGAGAGTTCACATAAGTTTTGGCTTTTTGATTTTTGCGATTAGAACGCTCAAAAATCCATCATATGGTGAAGAAAGCGAATCAAACTATTGCCTCTCCTCTTTTTTGAGCCAAAAGTAGTGTAAATCTATGCGGTGATAGATACTGCGCTCCAATCATACGCGGTGTCCTTTGAACTATGGACGAATTCGAAACGCACAAGCGTACCCTGATCGGCAACGCGGCAGCGACGAGTTTTCTTCGCCGAGCGCGGCATCGAGCACGAACTTGGTTTTTTTTACGAATGTTGAAGTTTCAGACGCCGATCTTTCTACGCTTGTTCCAAATTCGCTTTCGACAAGGCTTTCCAAGCTCGATCAGCAAGAAACACTATTGTCACAAAGTGGAGCAATCACAGCTTTGTATAGACGCCCGGGAGACGGTCGTAAGGCGCGCATTTTCGTACGGCGGTCGCGCAGGGCCGCGTTGCGGTCGCCGCGGCAGTTTAAAATCTGCCCGGTATGGTAGGTGCCAGAGTAAGCGAATATTTTGTTCAGGTTGGGGTCTCGCGCAGAATGGACATCATTCATCATACTGGCATCAATCCAAATGACGTCAAATCTGCGCCGGACCCCAACTTGAACAAAATATTCGCTTACTCTGGCACCTACCTATACTCGTCCCACTCTGCCGTCCTCGGTGGCACGCGCAAACGCGTCAAGTCGGCCCTGATGGCGCAATGCGGGACTCTGCGTCACTAACTCCTCCAATCGATATACTGCTGGATTTTCCGTCGCAATTGTATTACGACAGCATTCATGATGTTCTTGAGAGTTTACGTTATCTTCATCAGCTGATTGCGATGTGTGACGCGTCTTTGCTTGATTGTCATCCAGAGGCCAGATGTTCTTCACCACGAGTACGATTCCTCAGAAGAGCTAGACGCGCACACTGAGATGGTCGCTTCTAATGTCGATGCTCGTATCGTTGAGAGTCAGGTATGGTGTATGAATTTGTAGTTTTTATTCTTTTCAAAATGTCTTTTTATATCTTCTGTTTCTTTTTTCGCCATTGCTCACAGCTCTTCGACGCTTTCCTCTCAAGATCTCCTTCTTATTAGAACTTTGATGCTTAGCCAACTAAAAATAGCGCTCTCTGCATATAAACAACCCGGCTAGACGTATTGAGGGAGAGTATGTGGAACACCTGGGAAACCGCAGCCGAGCTCAGCAGAGAAAATAGAAGTATGCGCAGATGGAACTAGTCTAGTTGCGAGTTTTTGTCGAATTTTCAAGTAGCTGTGAATTGGAAAGAAGGGTCATATTTTTTGGAACTAAAACTTTAGTTTAGTTTTTGCAAACAAGTCTCATTGTCGATTTATTTTCATAGAATTCCTACTCTGCTTCATGTGCCTGTCGTTTGTATCACAGTGCTCATGCTTTAATGGCTGGTATTAGGCTCACAGCAGTGGCGTACCCAGGATTTCGGCTCGGGGGGGGGGCGACAAAAATTTTTTTCTAAAGAAGGTGCGTGGCGTTAGCCACGCACTCCGAAAAAATTTTTGGGGTGCTTCTCAAAACTTTTGCGGGTCTCCGACCCCTAAAATCTGGAAAAAGGGGGCGTGGCGTCAGCAACGCCCCCGAAAAATTTTTTTTACAAGGCTAATTTGATTTTTTAAAAATTTTTAAAAATTATTTTAATTATTTACAAAAATAAACAAGTCACTTGCACATTTTTATAATCCATATAAGTAACTTTCAAAAATTTCGCGACCCATTCTCGGGGGGGGGCGCCCCCCCCCCCGCCCCCCCCCCCCTCGGTACGCCACTGCTCACAGGTCTATGTATGGATTTTCAGGATTTTTTGGCCCGAGCAGCAACGCTGCGGGAATGTGATCGCGAAAGGGGCCCCGAGATTCTAAACGAAGATTCCTTGAATATATAACCCAAGCGGTAAGTTTTTCAAATCTTTTTTTTTTATTTTGCTGTTGAATATCTGAAATGTATGATTTACAGACGGGCGTTCCTTCAGAGGAAATTGACTTGGACGATTATGAGTTGCAAAAATGGAGTATCCTCATCAAGATGATAAACGCACCCGTACGACAGCTATGATCCATTCGCTCATGAATATAAAATTTCCTAACTCAGGTTATGGGAGATCGTCGAGCATAATCACACACAGATCTCGTAAAGTGCGGTGTGTCTCCGTTATCATCGGTGCTCTCATATCGTGGCTTACCCCTTTCCGCTTTAACATTGCCACAATAATATTGTTACAGGTGTACAGAAGTGCTTTAACTTGTTGTTTGTCTTTGAAGTCCTAAGATTCTGCTAGAGTTTTGGGTTTAACCCATTAGTTAGGATATTGAAGTTGCTTTGCCCAGTCCTCATTTTTATGACCTCATTGATTTGTCTGTTTTAACGATTTAATGCATATGAAGAAGTTTCATTTGAACGTATTGATGAGATTCATAACAAGCAACAACGTTTTCAAACAACTTGCAATGGATAAAACATCACTACTACTGGACTAGAACGTTGGATCAGATCACATTTACCATAATCATAATCTTTTCCAACTCCTTCCTCCACTACCGGCTTCTTGTTTCAATTTGACGTAGTTTGGTTTGTCTAATGAAGCGGCGATTTCGCCTAGCTCTTGTTTCATCTTAACAAGAATCATAAATCTAATGTAGAAAAAGGCTCTAAGAGAACAGACCTGCGCCATTCGGTCACTTAGTTTTGTCCATACTTCGCTGGTTTTCCACAGCCGCCGACGTTTTCCACAATCTCATTGGATGGTAGCTCATGTCGCTCTCGACTGGAACAATTCTCATGCACAAATGACTATAGAGAGAAAGAAAAACTGCTAATCCTTACTCAACAACAAGTCCTTGCATTCTCCATGGTAGGATCAGCAAGAGCGTAGAGCACCGGGCCTACCGCTTTTTCCACTCGGCGTGCATCCATTCCGAATAAAGCGGTAAAACGGTACCCAAGTCTCTCGTCATAAGCTAGCTGCACACCTAAAGCGAACAACTGGATTGATTTGAGTTGAGAATTGAGCTAAGCGATTTTGAACTAAGAAAAAAGTATCAAAGACGACATAAGACCAAGTTTACTTAGAAGGCTGCGAAAAGTTCACTTGCGAAACTTCTTTCCGATAGTAAATAGGTGTGGTGTGCAGTAGATCGCATGTTCGTAGAATATCTACTATGAAAATCTACAAATAACTTACTACGCACGGCGAAAAAGATGCGACGCAATCGATACATGTAACGTAATGGCTCGGAGAGAAATGGATTGCTAATGGAGCAATGCGTCAAAGGAAGAAAGAGCAACGCGATTGCAATTATAGGATTCTGCAATTGAAAAAGTTTTCCATCGTGAAAGTAGGAAATGAGTTGTAGAGCGATAATACTTGAAACGATGCTAATCTGAGAATAACTATGAGTAGGAGGATGTAGTATTAGGATTAATCAACATAATAAAAAAAATTTCAAAAAATTTCTGGCGAAATCTGCACAAATTTTGCAACAACAAATGGAACACAAAAAACGACCATTACAGATAAGGAGAACGAAAAAAAGAGATATCGCCCGTCATAAAATCCTCACCTTGTCCATAACATGTTGAAAAATTCTGATCGACGACGGAAAATCCAGCAATGAATCGATTGGAGGATTCAGTGACGCAGAGTCCCGCAGCGCGCCATCAGGGCCGACTTGACGCGCCTTGCGCGTGCCACCGAGGAGGACCGGCCCGCCGCCCGTCACCGTCGGCTCAGTGCGCGTCGCGGCTCAAAAGCGACGCGTGCACCCGTATACTCGTTCCATTGAGCATGAGAGAATTTCGCGCGACTATTCCAAGTTGCCAGACGAAAAGTGTTTTTCAAACGTTATTTCAGTGTGTAGATTTCGTTATGGCTCCGTTTGGCGGAGCACTTCGCCAAACAAATCGATCACATTGCCTTGTGTGCTTTTGTGCAGGTGGTAGACGCCAAGCAGTTGTTTCTATCACAACTATGGGTCAAACACTAAAATATGCCAGTAAAATTTGATCAGGCAGTAAGGAGAGACCTACGCAGTAAAGATAGGCATGAGCCTAAGCAGACGAAATTCCTCCATTTTTAATTGTCCGCTTCTTACATTAGAGAGGATAGAACATGTATAAAAATAATGCAAAAACGCATCTCTGTTGCTGAGATCACGACTTTTTTTGCGCGGTCCGGATTAGACTCACTCTGTTACACCAAGAAGACAAGGCTTTATGGCTGGACAGGTTGGACAGATAGGGATCGGCCATACTATTTTAGGAGGTGATTCTTGCGACTCCTTAATTCCTGCAATTCTTGTGATTCCTCGACTTCCGATACGCTGCACTATGAAGCGCTTAGCAAATTTCATTATACA